TATATATACACACGTCCCATGGGAATCCAGAGGGTGTGCTAAGTGGTGCTCGCATACCAGGAAAGCATATCGAACTCGAAGCTTCGTCGTCCCAAAATGTACGTTTTGATCGTCATGTATCGAACCGTTACCGACATCTCATCAATAGTATGCGTTATAATGATATTTAGTTAAATGGCTCACGCTTCCCCCTTCTCCCTCCTTTTCACCTTCTTTTTTATTTGTTCAAATTCTGCCTTTTTGCGACGTCGTACGGAAAGATGTGCGTCGCGTATCGCCGCTCGCGACAAAGGGATCAATTTCATAAGCGGGTGTGGAGAACGGATCGAATATAATTCGGGCAAAAACATGCGCGCACGCGTCCGCACATTTTATCATTAATGCATCGTAACTGGGTCAACATATTGTTTAATTTAATAATTTAACGTAAACATCAAGTAATATTAAATATATTACTAGGGAAGTAGGAGCGTGCAGTAGGGAAGTTTTACTCCAATGTAACCTTACAATTTTCAGCTTGATAATTTTCTCTGTAATTTTCTCGCGTGCTGTAAATATTGCATCGCTTATCCTCCCCTCACTCCGAAGAGACTTACAAATTTTTTGTTATTCCTTATCTATTGTGGCCAAAGATGCCATCAGAGGAAAGAAATTCCGTTGTGTTATTACAATGAAAATTGCGCACGCAAAACTATTGCATAAAATACAATTTCAAATATAGGATAACATCTTTTCTTTATAATAAAAATTTATAATCGTACAAATAAAAATGAAAACTATTGTCTTGTTATAGTTACAGAAATATTGTATTGTATTATTTCTCATCAGACAAAGGTAAGTAAACCATTTCAATCAAAATAGGTTTAACATGCTATTTACGGTATATGGTCTAAAATGTCAGTCCGCTTATAAAACTTGCTATCTATAATAATCATAAACATAACAAAAGTTGTTACAATTTTTTAAATAAACGAGTTATTTCAGATAAATTGAATATTAATTATGCTTGCGTCGATTAAAATATGATATGCTTACTGATGACTAAAGAAATGTTTTCGACTCTTCTCATTTTATAATACTCCTGTTTTAAACTACGTAAAAATAATAATAACATGCAACATAATTGGTAAATATGATAAATATAAAAACATAATTGGTAATAAATATTATATAAATATTCAAAATAATGATTGTTTGATATAATATATAATATATCTATGATAACACTATAAGAATAAATAAGTATATGATCTTTTTATGATCACACGTTTTCTTCGCTTGTCAAAACAATTTTTTATAAAAAAACAATAAATATATCTTACAACTTTATTGTAATTTTCAATGTCTCAGTTCAATTATCCTGTGATTTAGTAATAGAAATGAAAGAGTTTGACAAAATATAACATATAAATATAACATATTCTGTCTTTGCTTCTAGTGACAAAATATATTCGTAACCCGTATTCGGGTACACATTACATATAGTAACAATGTTATATTGTTGCATAAACAATAATTTCATGTCTTGTGCAACGTCCGTCTTTAAATGCTTTAAATTCAATTTCGAAAGTGCTCCACTTGTCTCGCCTTTGCTCTCGATCGTTGGTTCGCCACTCGCTTTACAGTTTCCAAGATATCAGGCTCTCATGAATCCTGGGGTAATTCCCGGACGCAGTCGAGCAGAGCAGCTTCAAGGAACGCGATGCGATGCAGCGAATCGATCGTCGAGGAGGCACCTGGCGAGGAAGCGAATGTCCGCGGGTATTATAGAGGGTGAATTTAATGAGGCCAGAGAGTGATTCGCTTTCTTAGTTGGTACCACCTTGCCACCATTTGTTCACCACTCACTTTCGTGCTTCAAGCCAACTCGGCTAACAGCATGACGAAGAGCTAGAAGGGCTCAACAGTCGGCGCGATTCTCGCGCGGCGCAATGGTCATCGCTCGTGATATTCCGGATATACTCGTCACATTATTTTTATTTAAACTTGTTAAATCAACAACGTTGTGTGTCATCGAGAGTATTTGAAAAAATTATTATATTATTATATTTGCAAGATAGACAAACGTGCGGCTGTTTAAACCGTAAACGATTTGATAATATATCTTAAAAATCATTGAAAGTAAAATATATGCAGTTTATAAAATTCTCTTTCCTGTGATTTTGGCTGTGTGATTGCATTGATTATCAATATATTTATAAATTATTTAATGTAGACTGCGGCTGTATATAGCAAAATTGATATCTGCAAGAACGCGAACCGAATTTCTCATGAAAATTATCGTCGAGGATTATTTTCAAGCGCTTGCTTTCGAGTATAATTTTGGCTTCCAATCATAAATATCTCATGAATAGTGCGTGTAATATTGAATGACGCGCAAAACGAGAGATGATCGAGATGCTGCAAGACTGGACTATTCTTCGAGATGATCTTTCGCATCTACTGAACAGGCTCACATAATCTCTAGAAATTTGCCGCGATTTCATCTCGTGTTCGTGGACCAGTTTCTTGCTCGTAGCTTGCAGATAGTTTTCTATCTTTCTTTTGTTGATACTCTCCTAGTAAGCAAAATGTTAGCAGTATGCCAGCAATTTGGCAGCAGAGACTCGATTAGAATGTTGCGGCAGATTGCGTATGTATAGAGATTGTGTTCTACCCGAGTGGTATGACGGCAGATTGATGACAAAAACTGAACGAAACTACCAAACGTAATCTGACAAATTGATGGCAAACATTTAATAAATTTACTATATTATAATTATGAATAAAAAAAATATGTCATTGATGATGACAATGCAAGATAAATGTAGATATAATTTCAATATCATTCATTTTAACATAAAGCTTATTGAACGAAAGAGCAAAACGATATGATTCTGTGACTTATGTCAACGTGTCGATAACGATATATGATAATTCGTATTCTTGTCCTACATTTGAAATCAGATATTGCTAATATAATTGCCAGAGTTTTATTTAAATAGTAACATTAAAATAAAAACATTGAGAGTCTAAAATTAATCATAAACACACATGATGTTCTTTTTGTATTTATAATGCATTTTTTTGGTATAAACGATTTAAAGTACAGAGTAAAATATTGGAAGAGAAAAAATGAGAGCTTAATTTTAAGATAATATAAAGTAAAAGAGAGATAATTATAAAGTGAAATTGAGCTCTGCAATTTCTGACTGATTTTTGTAGTTGATGTCTATTTGCTTTTTTCTTGCTACTCACGTTTTCAGCAACTATTGTAAAATATTTGTAAGATACGTGATGCTATGTCTTAAAAGATACGTATGTTCTTCAGACTTTTAGACTAATTTATTTACGATTTTATAGC